TCTGGCAGCCATCTTGCTGTGAGCAGCATGAGGCTGTTAATGCTCAAACGTGGCATCAGATGTTACCTGTGGCAGTTCAATGCAAACACCATGTTAGCAGTGACTGTTTGGGGGGGTAAAGGTGCTATTTTCCTGTTGGTTTCTTTCTGCTGATAATACTGGAGCTGAGGTTTAATCGAAACCTGAGTACAAAGGACAAAATTACATTTACTTCTAATGTCTGGTCTTTTTCTTCCTCTCTGTTTTTGCAGAAGTAGATCGCTTCCGGTGTGACTGATGTTCCTCTGGCAAATGTGACAGGGAAATACGGGGTTGTTTTTTAAAAGTCTCTTCTTCTGTAGGACTTTAATTAAAAAGTAACAAAACATTTGCATTTGGAAAATGTTTATTTTCAGTGACATCCTATGTAATTACAGCAACAATAGCAATAAATAGCAAAACAGAGATTAATTGCTCTTCTGAAGAAATAACTGGCCCACACAATGAGAATGGTCATTTGCCAGTGAATCTCAGGGAAAGGCAGGCTTTGAGCCAATGCAGGCTTCAGTTCAGGGTAATCTCTTGCTCTGTGTTGCACTGTAGTTGGAAAGAACACGATTAAAGAGGAAGAAGAGTTAGGAAGAAATGAATCTTAAAGGTATTTCTTAGCAGATTACAAGACTTTAAAAGATAGGAATCCTATAGAACTGCAGGTGACTCTGGAAACAGATTCTGGAGTCCAACCTTCAGTGTGAACATCTTAATGAACACTCATAAACAGTGCTTTGTAGTGTGTAGCCTAGGATCTTGCAGAAATATTTTATATAGGCTTTTATTTTTGCAAATACTTTTTTGTTGAGGTAATTGTCTTGAGTTTTGTAGATTCCTGTAATGCTGTAAGCCAGGTTTCAGAATTAACTCCTCTGGTCTATTCAGTGTTTTAATGAATTACAGGTTTTAGTGAAGCCAAAGTTTTCATGTAGTATTTTATCAGTAACTGTGCTTAATCCATTCTCCAATTTAGAGAGAAAAATATTTAGCAGTAAGGTGAGCTTCTTTTACTTTCCAAATGTTAGGCCTACCTAATTCCTACTAACAGGTGCACTGAACTGGATGCTAATGCCTTTCAAGGCAAAAATGGTTTTGCAGAAAGGTCTGAATTTAATTTCTGATCCATTTGTAAAGACATAAAATTTAGCCCTCAAATAGAACATCCATGTGAAATGTTCCACTTACCTGGTAGGCATTTCTTGGAAGTGTCTGCAGTCCATCACTTCTTACTTTTATGTTTCTTCTTGGTAGTTTATCCTCTTTAATATACAAACTTATGAAGTGGTTTAACAGGCTTGATTTAACATCTTGGTGTGCATTTTACAACATCCTGGTGGTCTTTCTCCTTTGGACTCAGAAAAGCAAACCTGTAATCCTTTCTTCACACACTTAAGCAGTTTGGGGGATAGTGGTGTGTGTTCAGGTTTATTTTTCTTTCTTTCAACTTAATGTACCAGATAATGAGAGTTACTTTTTTGGGACACTTACAAGCTTTTTGTCCTTCTGAACTGCAGTGATTCATTCCAGAATGAATCTCATTTCCAACCTGAACTTCTCGCTCATCCTTTCTCTACTTGCTGTTTCCATGTGGCCACTTGTGCCTGTGGAGAAGCAGCACGTGTGCTGGATCTCTTTCATATCTATCAGTTTCTGGTGCTATCTCATCTCAGTAGTTCTCATGTCCTTTGTAGTGTGCTTACATATTTTCTAATTAACCAGGTTTAAAACATTTTGTTCTAATCTTCCAACAATTCAGAGTGAAGGTATTTGAGGTTTGTTGATAGAACTGTTACCATCACCATGGGGGTATTTTGAGACATTAAAGCACAGGAAAAAGAGGAAAAGCGAGAAGGACCATGTGGAAAGACATATTCTTCCTTAAAAGCTGTCAAACTGGATGTCTGTCTGTGACCAGTCCCTAGGTCAAGTCTTACTCATCCAGTGTTGCTTGCCATTATAAGTGTAATTATAATTTGTGTATAGGTTTTGGTTTGGAGGGATTTTTTTTTTTTGTATACATTATGCAGACTTAGGCCACAGTTCTCCTTCAAACATACCAGAAGGTAGAAGGCTAACACTACTCTTATTACCAATCTTCGTTACATCAACTGTGACATTGCTGGTTGTGTGTATTTATTTGGTAGTACACTGATGGCCTTTAAAAGAAAGTTATCATTTCAGCCTCTCCCAGTGTATAGGAGGTGCTCTGATAACTTTGTATTTTCAGGCTTTAAGTTGTAGAAATCTTATCTCAGTCTCCTGAGTTCTGGGTCTCTGTGTTACTACTGATAATGAAAACATGAAGGATACTGATACATGCTTAAGCTACATAAATGTTCCTTTGTTTTAGGAAACAAAGTGTGTTAAGAAATTAGGAGTGTGAATAGGAGATCTGCAGTGACAGTAACTAGGTTTAAAATACTGAAACCCTCGTAGCTGAAAGTTACATTTCATATTGGTGCCAGGATTTGTAGTTCAACACTGACCACGTAACAGAAGTTAATTGCAACCCTCACAGTTGACGTAAGTCACTAGACAGCTTCTCTACTGACGTTATCTGTCAGCAGCTGAATGCAGTGAGGTATTGGAATTTGTATTTCTTGATTTTAGAAAACTTAAATTGTATTAATAAACCCTCAAGAAGAAGGAAACGTTTTAACACTTCTATATTAAAGCACTTCCATTTGACAGCTTATCAGTGACAATGCAAATTACAGCAAGGTGCTAATGTTTTAAAGATTTCATAGTCAGAATCAGTTAGCAGTGCTTGTGCTCCTGCTGTTTAGTACTGCGGGGTGTTTTTTTGGGGGGATGGTTTTGTGTTTTGGGGTGTTTTTCATGTTGAGTGGCACAGGGTATTTTTGACATGATCTGCAAGGAGAGGGGATTGATGCCAGTTATTTTCCTGCTAGGTGTTATGGAAGGGGATGTATTAAAATTAGTGATTAGGCCTGAAGTTCTTCACCACTCCCAGCTGTGGTGGTCTTGCAAGGATTCCTGCATTTGCTTTAGTGTTTAGTAATAGTTATTACTGGCCATTGTAAGAAGAGAAGCAACTCTGTCATGCTTTAGTGCTTTATTAGCGTTGTCCTGTGTTGATCTTTACTTTCAGCAGCAGTTGTGGCCCACATTAGAAGCAGTATTTTCTGTGAGCTCTGAGATTCTTTGGAGGGTAATGCAGTGACTGTTTACAAGTTCTTCAGTTAAAAGTCTATAAACTCATGGGCATGAGCAGTGCAGGTGATCTCACTGCAGTGAGCTTTGGACTTAAAGTGAGGTGAGCATACCTGCTGAAAATGAGATCTGTATCCTGTACTTACTCATTATGTTGATAGTTCACACACGTTTGGTCTATAATCATATTAATAGAAACACGTTCCCAAAATCTTACAACATATACAGGTCAATATTCAAGCTTCACGTTTTCAGGAATCAGTGCTAGGACAGGGTAGCAGTATATCATACCCTTTACTATTTGTAGTAAAGCTGATTCTCCTTATTTTCTATCTTCTGGGTAGTTTTGCTAGGCCAAGAGCAGCAAACACCACATAAACATTGTCTTGTAGGAAATGTTCATTGTTAAAGGCTGTGTGCAACATGACAACAGATATTTAATGACTCACTAAACTAGATCTGTCCAGCTGCTTAGTAAGAGCAGGCTCTGTTGAATGTGGTTCTGTGCATTCTTCCCTCTCCTCCGCCCCCAACTGTTGCAAGAAATGTGTTGAAACATCTTCAGAATATTTCATAATAGTACAGCTGGTGCATAAATAGTGTAAAAGCTGCACCCTGGTAACTGCTAGTGTCAAAGCATGAAATTCCACATGAGAAATGCATATTGATCCATTTGAAATAGCAGTATTTTAGCAGTGCAGGTTCTTCTGTGCGTATTGTGGCTTTTTCTATGTCCAGCAGAAGCAGTAGAATAAAAACTTGGGTCTGGAAGTATTGCAGGGAAAATAAATGTTTGGGTTTGTTTTTTTTTTTTTTTGATGGGGGTTAGGGCCTTTGGGTTTTGTGCTTGCTTTTTCATTTAACATTGTTTGCTCTTTTCAGTCTCTGCTAAATCACTCAAAGCGTGAGTCTAAAATGAGATGAAATTTGTGGTCTCAGCCTATTTCAGAAGTTACGTTATCATTACAAAGCCAGATGTTTTTTACCATGTAACTTTGTCTATTAGGCCTCGAGAAATAAGTGTCATTTTTGTCCTGTTATTCAACAAACATATTGTAATGATTTTTTTATATTACTGAAGGATTTGCTGAGGGTCAAGGAAGTGTTTATAGGTTAATCAGAACGTCTTGGCATTATCCCTAAAGGCAGGCAGATTCCTGCCTCTTGTTTAATTACAATTAAACACATAGTTGTTCGTAAGAATGGAATGAAGCTCTCCCTGGCGTTAGCTACCAGCCAGCAGAATACCTGCCCCACTTCTCTAAATGACACGACAAATTTTTCAGTCCACTTGAGGCACACAAATGTTTGTACTCAGCTAATTAAATGACATTAGAGATAGTTTTGGCAATGTAGTGAGAGGAATAATGTAGCTAGTCTAGCAACTTAGCAGAATACGCAAGTATTGAGTAGTTGGTATTGTTACTTTCTTCTATCAAGACAGAAACATCGCTGCCTATACTGTATTGTTTGAGAGTGAATACAGAACACATTTGTTGCAAATCCAAGATGCCTGAAAGCACAAAAGAAACGTCCAAAATGCTGTGTACAGTAATTCTAAGAAAATTTAGTATTTTATATGTTTTCTTTAGAAATGGTGTGTGGGTTTCGATTGTAACTGCAAAGAAATATGCACATTGGGTACAATTGGTAACTTAGCTGATGAGTTGCCCATTTGTTTGGTTTTGGCTTGGCTGATTGCTAAGAGGTCTTTTTTTAACATTCAGTATACATTCTTTGATACTTTGATGTGTAAAGTCTAATTGCCTTTTCTCTCCCCCCTTCCCTTCTGTCTTTCAGCAAACGAGGATTCAGTGTCCGATCCTTTGGAACAGGGACTCATGTGAAACTGCCAGGACCAGCACCGGACAAGCCGAATGTTTATGATTTCAAAACAACATATGATCAGATGTACAATGATCTGCTTAGGAAAGACAAAGAACTGTATCCCTGTGGCATGGCCTCTTTAAAAAATCCAATATGGTTCATCATTGAAAGGTGTAATTCATTATTTGGCAATATGCATTAGGAATATATAGTTTCTTGACTGGTGAATTTAAAATGTTTTAAGTTTACAGGAGTTTTCTTTTTTTTTTCTTTTTTTTTTTTCTTTTTTTTTTTTACAGTGGGCCTCTAATGCTCCCTTGTAAATTGCTATTGAGTTACAATGCATACATTCAGAATGCTCTTTTGTAGTGTGTTACCATGTTTAGCTCTTGAATGAAAGCACATTAATACCATCACAGATTGTCCATTACCTCCACTGCACTGTGGATCGTATTTTCTCAGTGCAAAGACTGCCCTGATAATGGATATGTGAAGAGCGACCACCTCGCCATTAGTGTTGTATTTAGCTCAAACTGCCAGGTAAGGTTTCCTGTATACTTTATGTGGGAGAGAGGATACTTTCATTAAAGAGCTCACCCTTCTCACTGAGAATTTCTTGATACATTATTTGATCTATGCACTAAAAAACCCAAACCCTATAGAATATGATAAAGAATGAGCATAGGAGAGCTCAATAACGTGTTTAATCCTGAACAGCAGAGGTGATCAAGGTTATATACACTACTTAAACCCATGACAAGTGTCCAACTGCATGCTTAAGTTGATTTTTCATTTGGTTTTAAGAAAACCCACTGACCCACAACCTTGGGGGACTCATTCTAGATACTCTTTCCTCAACAAGGGATCTGATTTTAATATTATTTTTCAATGTTAAATATGAAAGAGAAAACTTACCCAAAATAAGGAATATGCTGAATTTCTACTTAAGAATAGAAACCCTTTAGAGTAAAGAATCCCAGAACTGAATCTTGGTAGTCTTAGCAGAGCAGTCTCTGCACTTTTTCGTGCTGCAAGATTTTTTCCTAAAATCTTGGATATGGCCATCTGGAGATCCCGCAGGAATGTTAATACAGTTTAAATATCTTCATTGTGCTCAAACAGCCCAGTTTTTTCACATGGTTCTAAAAAAAGCCTGGAGTAAGACCAAACAGGTTGTCTCAAACATGGTAGAAACTAGTTCAAGGAGTCAGCAAACCCAGGAAAGCTAACTCTACAGTTGTTTGGTAGCACAGATGATACTGTGGCTTACTACTATTCAGCAAATTCTTTTGTTGTATTTGCTGACCAGAAATAGTCAGTTTGAGCTCCTGATAACTCCAAGGGTGGTAAAGGTTTTTCCACTGGGCATCAAAAGACTCCTGTTAAGAAGGGCTGGGCTGTTTGATTAAAGCTGTAGAGCACAGTGAGAAGTGATGGAACATTGGAATACCTTTCTGCATGGAGTTCCACACAAATAGTGTCCCTTGCAAGGTGTTTGATTCCTGATACCCAAGTAGAAGTCTTCTTAAATAGAAAATCAAAATGTAGGGTGTAGTCTTAACGAATCACATGTGATGTGCTGGGGGTTTTATCCCTCTGCCTACAAAGAAAAGGAAAATCTTGCAAACCCATCTTAAGGTGTGCCGTATCTTGATCAAAAAAAGAATTGCTTCAAGAGAAAATTATTTGAATTGAGAAGTAATTTTGACAAGTGCTAACGACTTGTAAATTTCTTGTTGCATTCCTCATTGCTGCTGTACTGAATATGGTAATGCTTTGAGATAAAACCACCAGAAAAACTACCTACTTCTCCCCCCCACTCCCCCTTCCAGCATATTTTGGAGTTACCATTTTTGTTCTGTTCCATGCTGGAGATAGTTGCTGCATTCCCCAAATGTATTTGCAGTGTTACAGTTAAACCTTTTCTCAAGATAAAAGAAAGCAAGTTTAAACCATAGCTGTTGCAAGGAAACAGGACAAGAACTGCCTCTACATCTTTGCATTTTTGATTCTCAGATAATACAAGTTAAGGTTTCAAAAGTGAAGCCTGTCAGTACAGAAAGCAGCTCCATTGCCAGAAATAGATATTGAGGGGAAAGACTTCTACAGTAACCCAAACCAGCCCTACTCTCATCAGGGGGTTGTGGAGTGGTTTTTTTGTGAACCAGGGTCATGGGGGCTCTCGGGGTTTTGGGTGAGCATTCCTTCATAGAGGTGATGGGCAATGCAAGTGCTACCTGGTGCTGAAGGGTGGGAGGGTCTGCTCTTCTGATGGGCTCTGAGTGGGATGGAGAAACAAAAGGTGTGGTTCTTCATACAGTTTAGCAGCTTGTTCTGTTCACCCTTGCTTCCATCTGCTCAGTGGAGATGACTCGGCTGTAGCCCTTCCATGGGGTTTGAAATATTTCTTGGTGACAGCTCTCTCTGTGTTCCCACATTCCAGTGGGAGGGCCTCAGGAGTGATGTCCTTCCTCCAGTTCTGTATGCCAATAGGGACCTAAAGACACTAGGTACTCCATGAAGTTACGGCTGTGAGAAGCTCTGAATGTTCTCTCGCCAGCCAAGTAAATGACCCCTGTTGTAGAAACCAATAGTCTGGAACAGAAATGAGCTTCTGCAGTATTGGATATTAGGGCAAGGTTAGGGTGAGAAGATCCACTGGAACTCTCCTATTCACTTGTGGAAATGGGGGACAACTATAAAAACCCACTCTGCAGAGACTAAAAGCACCTTCATTGCAGTAATTAGTGAAATACAAGCTGACATATCTTGAAGGCATATGTTGAATTTCAGAAGCACGGGAATAAGGGATTAATGGAGCCAGGCGTACAGATTCAGTTGAGTAGGTGGTTGCAGTGTGTCTAAAATGGAATTACTTAAGCAATTTAAGATGTGGTAGTTAAACCTTACAGTTAAAATAAGTATCCACATCTACCGCTGCATCTTTAGAATATAGCATTTAAATTCCCCAACTCCTAATAGAGGGCTGTGACAAAGCCATTTAAGGCTGTTCTGAATGTGACTTTTGGATGCCTTTTAAAATCCTCCTTTTTTATTTCTAGAACAGCAGAGGGTTCGAACTACTCACCTGCAGGAGACATGACCACAGTCTGTGGTTATCTCTGGGGCTCTGTGTGCGTGGTACAGACACACTACCTTGTATTTGCATGACCTCTTGAAGACAGGCCACTGATCACTTGCCCCTTACAGCTGTGTGAAGGGTTTTAGAGGCTTGGTTCTAATTATGTGGTGGGGACTTTAAAAATGAAACAAAGAACAGAGGAAAAACTGGTGGACCTTGCCTTCAAGTGAATGCAAAAACTAGTCAGGGATGGAACTTTCTAAATGTCACCTTAAATCTACAACAGCAATTGCTTTTACCCTTAGGGATAGGAACTGTTCAAATGGAAATTTGACCAGAATTCTGCAGCAGGAGGTGCTGGGTTCTTTATCAACATTAACTAACTCAATGATTGATTGCTTTTATCCCTTTCCCAACACTGATCAATCTGTGGCCGTCAGCTGGAAGATCCCTGATGATTTCCATAGGTAGGATTTGTAGGCAGCCTCCTTCTGCAAGCTTGGCCTCCTGCTCAGGTTCCTACTTTAACCTCCTCTTTTTAATTTCACCTGATCTCTAACTGTAGATAGGATTCCAGTTTTAGCTCCATAGTTACATGATGATACAAAATTGGAGGGAGGGGGTTGGAACATGCCTCCAGAAGTTACTAAAGGTGTGCTTCAGCTAGAGCAAAAATGTTTGGGAAATGAAGCAGCAAAACTGGCTTGGTATATCTCACTCAGTATCTAGGTGATTCAGATCTAGTTTTCTCTGTGTGAACTCCATGTTTAAGCTGGATGGCCATATGGGAACGTTTGTGCTGTTGCTGATGTGTGGTGGTTGATTGTTTGGCTTTTTTAATAGTACCCTTCACATTCAGGGCAAGTGGAACAGTTTTTCTCTACCATATACAGACCTCTTTGCCAGGAAGTATTTGTGGCAGTATGGACTTTCCATAGCTGATGCTTATCCCTGGTTTATCCCCCAGTCTTCCATCTTCCTGAGATGATGTTCTTTATTAACTGGTGAGATGTGTTGTGGGAGAACATAAGTAGAGGAAAACGTCTTGGCTTTGGAGCAAGTGTAGGCTTGAAGGGACTGTGTACTGCAGTTCCAGAACTAAGGGGGGTAGGAGTCTGAGGCAGGTTCTGACACACAGGATCTTCATAGGGTTTAGATTAACAAAATGGGAATCCTTATTTCCCTA